CAGACCATGAAAAGATTGGATTATGCACTATGTTTCTCATTCTATCGATGAAAATTCATTTTATGAGGCTTTAAATTTACTTCAGACTTCTTATATAAAATTTAACAAAGAAGTATTGTCAAGACATCTACTTGCTATTTCTATAGGAAATCATGTCCCTCCACAACTTGTCCTTTGTGGTTTTTAGTAAAGTTTTTCTTTTTGTTATCTCTCCTAACCCCTGTCTTGCTAACCAATTACTCAAACTTGTTAGGTAAATTATTTATTGTTTTAGTGTCTCTCTTGCCTTCAATATATCCTGTGAGTGTCAAATTTTCTAAGTCCTCTTTCCTCATTATGTACCCTAAAAAATTCAATTGCCTCTTTCTGATTCTAAGTATGAGTGTCCTTTTTGTTTCCAATTAACCTAAAACTTCTTTGTTACTCACATGTTCAGTCCATGGGATTCTCAGCATCTTTCTATAGAACCATATTTCAGTTGCTTCAAGTTTCATCTGTGAGGAGATTGTCCAGCATTCACTATCATATAGGAAGTTTGATATTATATAACAATTCAGTACTTTTTTCTTTGTTTCTAATGCAATTTTCCAATTTCTTAATACTTTGCTTAGCTTTTTTCATTATTTCAATGTGCCTTTGGATTTCAGTGTTGCATTTTCTGTCCTCTGTTAAAACACTTCCTAGACATTTAAATTTTTATATTTGCTTGAATTTGATGTCTCTGATTTGTAGTTTGCATCTTGGGAGTTCCTTTTGCAGACAACCATACATTCTGTCTACTTACAATTTATTTTTACGTTCTGTAGTTCCTATAGTTACCTTTCTGTGTCTGCTATCAACACCATATCATATGCATATTTAATATTGTTGAAATTGTGGCTACCAATAATGAATCTAAGTCTGATTTCTAATTTTCTCAGAATTACATCACTGTAAATATTGAGTAAGTCTTCTCTTAAACCACCTTTCTAGTTTTGTGTATTTACTGATTTCATTTTTCATCTGTATACAGGTATTTTATTCCCAGTATAAATTCTGAATTATTCTAATATCCTTCCCAAATATATAAAGCTTACCTAGCAGTTCTAACAGTTCTTTGTAACATACTTTATCAAATGCTTTTGCATAATGTATAAAACATAGGTAGATGGCCTGCATTTGTATTGCTCTTTCTGAAATTATTTTGAAAATAAGTATTGCATTCCTTGTTCCAGTGTCTTTAATGAAACTGCATTGTTGTTGTCCTATTTCTGGTTTAATTCTTTTATGTGCTCTAGTCATCAGAATTCGAATGGTAAGTTTTATGTAGCTCATTAGGCCGATTATCAGACGTAGTTCACATTTATTTGCACCTGGCTTCTTAAGCAGTGTAATGAAATTGGATCTACTTAGGTCTTCCACATTATCACCCCTGTCATACATATTTATTATTTCTGTAATTTTGTCAATACCAAATTCATCTAAGACAGTCACAGCATCTATTACAAATCCAGTCCTGCTGATTTGTTCCTGTCCAATGCCAATTTCACTTCAGATTACTTGCTAGAAGACAAGAAAACAATGAATCACTGGAAAATTACTTAAAAGAACTGAAAACATTAAGGACTGTAATTTCTGCACTATAACTGCCAAAGAAGTACGAGATGAATATATACTAAATGAAAATATATAAATGAAATACAAAATACACAGGTAAGTCAGACTCTTTGAAAATAAACCCCTCAATTTGAGGACAGTGTATGAACAAACCTACATATTCTAGGCTGCTCAAAGGCACTCCTTTTATTTTTCAATCTAACTCCATTTTGAGTTCCATTTCTGCCTTCTCTCTGCTAGTGGTACTCCAAGTCTTTTAAAAAGAAATAAAATTATTTCCTAATGATCTAGTTTCATTCTCAAATTGTCATGAAGAGTCCATCACTGAATTTCAAATGTTACTTTTGTGGTAAAACTTTCCATTCACAACTGAACTGTTCAGCTCAAAGCACTAGGTGCCATAAATGTAGAAGATTGGGTCATTTTTCTAATCCTCTAAAATTACCACTTTTAAGAAATACTTACTATTTTTGATGACATCTCTAACTAGCCACCTGTAGCAACTATATTTCCAGACTGTTTAAGTAAACATACACTGAAAGTAAAAATTAATGAAGTTCTAATTTAGCGGATAAAACTGTTTCAAGAATTTCATTGATTTCAAAATAGTAAATCTAATAAATGGAAACTTATTCCTTGTAATAGTCAAGCAGATCAGACATGGATTCTGCTTAACCAAAAATTGAAACAGATTAGAGAATATTTTTATCAATGCAAGACCTATGCTGTTGTCATATTAGGGCATGACTTCCTTAACAACAATTTGACATTAAATTTCACTTTGGAGTCTTAAACAGGATATCACCTGAAGAAGGCTGGAGCATACAGTGGCTGAAATATTGTGACTATGGCAATAAAGATGAGGACAACAGTCCAAATAATGTAAATAGTCTAAGTAGTTAATAATTGTTATTTTCAATTTATTTTGTTTATTAATTATTATATATATTCATGCAGTAAAGAAGTTTCTATGTGTGTTAATGAAATGCTATGAAAAATTCATAATTATTGATATCAAAGTTATTGCAGTATTTGTAAAATGTGCTGACAATGTTCCAAAAGTACTGATACACATCCAAAAATCATTTCCCCAAATAAATTAACAGCATGCTCCTTTTGTAAAGACAGTAATGACAAATTTTGTACAATAGTTCATCATAAAACTGGTAAATGCTGAATTGCTAATAACTTAGGTACCTCAATGAGATCGCTAAAAAAAGAGCATAGCATGATGAAAAAGAGGCCAAACTTGACAAAAACAAAATTTTATCATCTAAATGCTTATGTCATCATTATGAGGAAAGATCAAAGTTTATTTTAATTATTTTTAAAAATTTTTCCTTCTTTACAGAACATTCTAAATTTTGATTAAAAAAAACTTGTTTCTTTTGTATCACTGGAACTAGTAAAATAACATATACAATTTTTAGCACGTTTTTTTTTTTTTTGTATGACACACATTAATTTGGAAAATTAAAAAAAAAATAAAAATAATTGTCAGATGTTAATGAAACTTTCAGAAACTATTCACAAATGATCAAAATTATTATAAATATTTTTTTTTTTTTAAAGTCATGGCAGAAATATTTTTTTTTTATATTTATTACATCTCCATAATTAATTTTATGAAAACGCTAGAAATTCTATTGCGTCAGGTTTAGTGATTACAATAGTTAAAAGCACAAGGCTTTGAGGAATGCAAACCATTTTTTTTTTTTGTTTTTAATTAGACCCCACTATCTGAAAATCAAATCGGAATTGTAACATACAAAACTCAATAAAACAAATATTATTTCATTTCAAATGCTTTTATTTGCTTTTAGTTGTTTTTATGAATATGGACAATATTTTCTGAAAGCAAAAAAATTTTTCAATGAAAAATGAATTTTTAATACAATTATTTGTTATTTCTTTAATTATAATAGATTTTTACATTTAAGTTGTTAAAATATTATAAAATTAGTTAAAATCCGCATCGGGTTTCCTAAGTGTCCTTATGAGATAGATTATTATTTTTTTTTTTTTTTTTTTTTTTAAGCGTGTTGTAAATTGTATCATTTTGAATAATCAGAAGATCCACAGTAACTAAGAAATGTAATTTTGTGTTTATAATCGGGCTGTAATTATAAAGTACAGAAGACCAACCAGAATACAATTAAGTTGCTTCATTTGAGTTAAGCATTGTTCTCCACTGTTAAGGCCTTTACTTTTGTGAAACATGTGTGGAGATGTTAATTTGATTTTTCAATTTCAACTGAGAAGTGTACCTACAAGTATCAGTACCATCTTATGGAATTTATATGATCTTATTTTTATATTAATCTCAGTTATGACATTTTTCCATAAATGAAATATCAAAATTAATAATAAAATGAATGGAAATACAAATAACACAGTAAAATGTAATAAATGTACATAAAATTATAGTATTTTATGTACACTTCTGATAAAATTTCATAAGAAAGTTACCTATAAATTAATTAGATACCTTTCTTATGAAATATGAAATTTAATCTCACTCTTAACAGTCTTATTTTAATTTCTTTATAATATATTTTCCATAAAGCATTGTAAACGTAAAGGTGAAAGCTAAGTACAAAAAAAAAAAAAAAAAAAAAAAAGTTTTTTAAAATAACGAGGTAAATAGTTTTTGTTCACTTAAATGTAAATAATTTCACTTTTCTCCTTCCCTAGAACAAATTATCCTCATGGAATCTGTCAATATATCATTCATCACCTGTCAAGCGAGGCGAAAGTTTATAACCTGCTTTGTTTTATTTTCAAATTACACCTTTTCGGCACGGAAGCTAAGTTAAGCTTGGTTTAAAATATTTTAAATAAACATTATAATTTCTGATTTTCTTAAAATAAGTTTTGAAAAAAAATGATAATTGATATTTAAAAAATTTTTCAAAGTGAGATTTTTTTTTTTTTTTAAAAAATGGAAAAAAAAATCTGTCAATTTTGCTGACTCAAAAAAAAAAAAAAAAAAACAAGATTTTTTACGAAAAATTTTGGACGTGCTAGGAACGATTAAAAAATGTAAAAAAAAAAATACCCTCAAAATACTTTGATCTTTCCTCTTAATAATAAACATTTAGACGATAAAATTTTGTTTTCGTCAAGTTTGGCGTCTTTTTTATCATGCTATGCTTTTTTTTTTTAGTGATCTCGTGGAGGTGCCTATAATAACTAAAAATATAAATGTTTACTAACTTATAAATTACATAATGTTAACATTTTCAATTTCTTTCAGATTATGATAAGTGTATATAAAAACAATTTTGCTGCAAAGATTTACCATAAATCAACATGAATTTTGTATTTAAAATCTCAAATTATGCTTGTCTTCCAAGGAAAGGGATTTTACACAAGAACTAATAATAAAGAAATATTGGACATACTTGTGCATTGATGGAAGCTTGTGACTGCATTAACCACTGCAAACAGTGAGGGTGGCCAGCATATGCAGCAAGATGAGAAGGAGTCTGTAGAAATTGTGAGTTTCGCATATCACATTTTAAATTGGCTGGTCGGTCATGGCAGGATAGTTTACGTAAACAGGCAAGCTAAATAAAAGAATGACATGAGAATAATTACTAGCAAGCTGATAAAAATTCCCTTAATTTGTAATATAGCAAAAACAAGGCATTAAGTCAAGCTTCACATTAAAGAAAATAAACAATTTTTAATCATTTCATATATTTTAAAAACACTTCTACTTATTTCAAAGTTATAAAAATATTTTTTTAAAATAATGTAACAGTAATATATAATTAAAAAATATAGAGTAACTATCTATTCACAGGATTTCAGTGATAGAAATGTTAGCAAGTTTATAATTATAATGAATCACATAACTGAATTTGAAAAACTATATCAGGTGTGTGCAAGTCTTTCAAACTGAATAAGTTTTATCAGAATAGGAAAGCAAAAGAAATTGAACTAAAAACAAATCTATTTAAAAAAAAAAAAAAAAATGTTTAGAACAAATTAAAAGATAACAGAGATTAATGTGTTCATTTAGACTAACAACATTAGCTGTAAAAACTTTTTTTATATAATGAATGATAAAGCAATTAATCATAAATTGTGAGTTGGTTAAAAGCTAATCAGAAATAGCTATATGGATAATATAACAAAATTATTTTCAGTTATTTCTTAACTCAAATATTAAAAGCTGAGGTATAATAATTTTATCACTGACATCTTTATGTACCACTAACTATCCCACACATAACATTCTGATTTGAGGGATGTAGACAATAAAGGGCTCTATATTATCTTCAAATCACCAAATGATCATGGATGCATACTATTTACTTGGAAAACTTCAACCAGAAATATTTTCATTATATTTTTTTTTCATGAAAACAGGGTCGACTAGTATGCCATATTACAATACTTAGTGCCACATTTTTTCAAACAAGCCTGCTATACAGATTAAAGAGAAAAATTTTACATCACTTCTCAAATTAACAAAGAGTTCATAGTGTAACAAATTTATATTAATGATTGGATGGCTTGCCATGATATTAGGATGGTCCATATTCAGTATAATACAGTGTAGTCCATAGATATGGTTAAGTGACTGCTTGTTAGGTGGATGCATCAAGTTTTGATATTTTTGTTTTGAAGAGCCAGAATAACAGATATTTAGGTGCTACTGTTTACCAGAAAATTGAACCTAGTAGTTTTAATTAAGCAAAAAAATAAATAAATAAAAATAAAAAATTGTTCAGTGTAGTGCTACCTATACAGCACTTCAACATACCAAATTATTTTCTCCTGTACCCTGTTTACACAGGGAGAATTAATTCTTTCCAAAGATTTTAAATCACTGGAAATGATCTGGTTTTCTAAATTTTTCTCTATCTTGCATGTATTTGTACAGACTGAAGAGACATTCCTTCATTTGATCTGGGATGATCTAGTAAGCATTCAATTCAATGTCTCTGTTAAAATCTGGTTAGTCACTTTTTAGGTACCTCCAAAAATTTAAGGTTTTAAATGTATTTTTCATAAAGGAAAAATCCTTTTTGAAGCTTTACCCCAGCTTCAACTGAAAGCTATAGAATTAAATTACCTAATTCCAGAAAAAAAAAAAAAAAAGTACTGTGGAGTATTTCAAATAGAAATTTGAATGATCTTTAGTCAATTCTTCTGAAAAACCAATCGGAACGGCCATTTTTAACCTTTTTTTTTTTTTTTAGAGAAATGTAAACAAAACTTATTTTACTGTTTCGAAAATCCCGCTAAAATAAAATATACATTTCTGAAATGTTACTTTCATAAAACTAGTAAATTTAAAGTTAAATTAATCTGTTCTGAAACAAATATCACATACTTATAGCATAAAATTTTCTAGACAAACATTTCTTGACCTCGGGGTCTTGTTATCTTCGCAACACCATCGATAATTTGATGGCTGAATATGTTGACAGGTTTTTTAGTATGGTGCTCCAGAACTAACATAATTTTACAAATTCTAAATAAGAACATACTAAAGTAAGGTAAATACAGAGCAAAATTAAAAATATTTAGTGAAATAAAAAAAAAAAAAAATTAAAAATCATCCTTCCAGATTTAAGCCTGTTGAAACAGGACAATTGAAAACCTTTATGTCAAGGAGTTATTCTCGGATCAAATAAGCCCCCAAATACGTGACCTTTTAAACGAAACCATACTAAAAAAAAATTTTAAAAAATTGATGCACAAAAAATATCTTTAATTATTATTAATCGTTTTGGGAGTATGATTTTTGTATTAAGATTTTAATTTTCACTTAGTAAATAGTCTTCAATTAATAACTTAATAATTTACATCATACTCTGTTTGAAAGAATTTTAAAACATTTTTTAAACTTAAAGAAAAATGCAAACAATGTACCTCCATGAGATTGCTTAAAAAAAAAAAAAAAAAAAAAAAAAGCATAATAAATAATAATATGATGAAAAAGATGCCAAACTTGACGAAAACAATTTTATCGTCTCAAATGTTTATTTTATTATTAAGAGGAAAGATCACTATTGTCTGAAGAAAAAAATTTCAATGAATAATTAATTTTTACTACATTCTCTATTGGTTGTCATGAAACGGTTCAAGTATGTATACTTTCAGGGTGGTGCATGCAGTAGATATCTAAAATTCCTTACTCTTCATTTGGACTCCACTAACTAGAGCAAATCACAAGTTGGGTATCCAAGTCTTCATAGTGAGACTGTCAATGTCAAGCAAGTATCATTTTTTTTAAAAACAAAACAACAACATCTCTAAAAAAAAGTTTAGAAATGTAATCGCGTATAAATTTAACCTCCTATAATTATCCTGTGGGCTAAGGCTAAATAATAATGGCGCATAGAGTTATTAAGTTAAATTAAGTAATAATGCGACAAGAAGAATATAAAAAAAGTAAGAAGAACAATAAAAATAATAAATTGGAAGGGAAATCACTACAAAGAGTTCTGGTCAAATTTCGTAAACAAAAATTTAAGTGTTTTGATTGGACAAAAGCGCAGAACAGGATGGGGAGGCACCTTTATTATTTGAAATAAAGCTATAGCGAAAATTAGTTCAGCATTTAAATTTCTGCTACTCATTTTTATAGTGACCTCAAATAACTGTAATAAACACAGATTTTCAATGACACTCGGTAACAAATGTTATAAAACATTTTCATTTTGAACGTAATTAAATTATACATCCTTTTCACTTTTCAATAGCATCTTTAAAAAAATGTTTTTTTATTGTTGCCTTCATAACATTGTTATCCACTTTTCAGTTTTCAAATTAAATTACGATTTTAGAATAAAATAACGACTTCAGACGAATAAAAATTTGCTTTGTTATTATTGCAGCGACTCTTCTATTATTTGGCTATTACAGTCAAGTCATGATTGTAGTCAGTTGCACCTAAATCTGAAGAATACTCCAGCGAAAGCGTTATTAATAAACAAAAACAGTGTTACGGGTAGGGGGTATTTAAGAGTGATAATGAAACAAAAACTAGTATTCTCAGAAACAACTTTTAAAATTACAAAACAAATTATTTTATAATGTCAGGCTTTTTTTTATTATTTTCAATTTCTTAAAATTTAGCAGCAAAAAGTTTATGAAAAAAAAAAAAATTCATTTTACACAATGTGTCAACACGTTTTTTTTTTTTTTTTTTTTTTTACCTGTGAGATCTTACTTATCGTCATTTTGGATTGGCTATAAAAAAATAAAAAAATGCATGTGCTGTGTTACACTAACATTTTTTAAAAGAAAAGAATTCAACTCTTTTGAAACCTATGAATTGGGGTAATTTGAGTAACTTGTTCTTAAAATTAGAATACGAAATAACAACTAAAAAAATCGAATGAATTATCTTATTTTATCCGATTTTTACTGAAACTGAAAGATTACAAAAATAAAATTATGTTTACTGCTGTGACAAAAGAAAAAAAAATTCTTTATTACACGTTCACGTATTTTTGTTGCTTTTTTAGTTTTAAAAACAGCTCTTCTCAGGCTAAAATAAAAAATGTATTTTTTAATTTTTATTTTTAAAAATTTAGTTAAAAAGAAAAACTATTCAAAATCCAATCAATGCGAAAAATAAATGAGAAGTAAAAAAACGTTAAACAATTACAAAGATGTTGAATAATCGTTTATTTTTATTTAATTTAAAAATGTTTCAAAAAATTTTAGTGCGGTAAGTAGTCCATTTTGATAGACTGAGCTTTCAAAATATTACAAAAAACTGCAAAAAGAGGAAAATTACAATAGTTTTAAAAAAGTAAAAAAAAAAAAAAGAAAAAAAAAAAGAATCTTCTTATCCAGGACACTAAAAAAGAAATAGTTTTAAAACAAATCATCCAACGATCAAAAAAATGTTTTGCTTTTCAATCTTGATTGTGCTTCTTGTTTTTATTTCACGATTTAGTCTTTCTTTACAGTACTGAAATTTAAAAAAAATAATTCTCCAGCTTCAAAATGGGCACCTTCTTTTCTATAGTTTATTTTTGTTTAATTATTGTTTCGATATTAATTCCAGTTAGCTGCAAAATTATTACAAAATCTTTAAAGAACAAACTGATTGACAAATATTCTTTGTTTTTGTACAACGTTATATAATGTTGTTCAGTTAACCGTTAACGCGTGTGTGGTTAAATTATAATTGGCGATTTAACTAAAAGATTTAGAAATAATAATGATTATCAATGCTACAAACCAATAAAATGTTAATTACTGAATACTCAAGAAAAATACTTGATTGTAGAAAGAGAAACATACTTTGCCAAAATAGGCTGCCCAGTGAGCAGGGGTCCAACCATAATAGCAATCCTCGGATGTAATACTAGAAGACAAATGGTCAGAACGTTCGTCTAGTAACTGTCGAAGACTATTCACATCACCATCTCTGCAGGCATAATGCAAAGGATAAGTTGTCAAGAGCTTTTCTTCTTTTTCTGCTGTCCATTCTCCATTGTTCATCACACTCTCCATGTTGTTACTGGCATATAATAGTGATTTTTTTTATTAATGAAAAAAAAAACAGCAACAAGAAACCATTTAACAACTAACAGATACAGATAAATAATTTAGATATCCTTCATGAAATACTTGTTGCTTTTAAATTATGTGGGAATAAATTGCTGAGTGTTATCTCAATCGTTTTCTTTTTTTGGCACCTGCTGCTGAATATTTGCTGTGTAGTAGTAGAAATACTACACACAGCAAGTCTCTTAACAAAACGGACAACCAGCTACATCAAACATAGGCTTAATAATGCCAAGTCTCGTTGCACAATCTCGTGAAAACGATATTCACACACATAAGCATATTACAAAGAGTCATTTATTTTAAAAATTAACTTTTTTCAATCACATTTTTTGTATTCTATATAAACGCAAAATAAGAAAATAATTTTTTAAGCTTTTCTTTTTACTTCTAATACAATTGTGTAAAACTTTTCGCAAAAGTTTTATTGCAAATTTAATAAATGCACATACTTTTTCTTTTAACATTACTCTCTATTGCCAGTAAAACTACTTACGAGTATGACTCTTAAATAAATTGAGCTTTAAAACCATATTTTAAATTCTGAGCAGGAACTTTTTTTTCATCTTCAAATGCATATTTTTTTTAATTTTGCTTCTTTCTGAAAGTTAAAAAATAAACTTCTCTCTTTCTTCTTTGAGTTGTAGATATCTAAAAAAATAAAAAAAAGCATATTAAAACTTTTTAGGTAAATTTACTTTTTAATCCTCGCGCTAAATATCTATTAAAATTTTCCGAAATCGTCATATTTCCGTGTAAATGTACATGCTAAACTCGAAATAACAATTAAATTTTGATAAAACCTATCGTTTTGGAGTTATCGACAAGAAAAATTTGGACTCAGTCGTGGTCTTTCGTCCGCCATTACCAGCTTTGTGTAATTAGATTCACTACAGATCATTTCCGTCGCGCAATCATAACTTTTCGGCCTATTTACTGCCTGTACTGCTGTTACTTGTCTAACTTACTGCTCACTATCGTAATGCAATGACATGTGGACGATATTTTTTTTTCTTTGACAAGTGTAGTTATATTTATAACAGAACAATGTCAAGTGTTGTTTTATTTTAACAGAAAACCCTTTATTTCTGTGTAGAAAAGCGAACAAATTAATAAAAAAAAAATTAAATAATACAATAAAACCTTATTTCGTTTCTAGCATTTTTTTATTTTGTACATAGTCAAGCTCTTTACAAAGGTTAGGGGTTAAGTTTAGGGTTAGGGACTACGGTTGGAGTTAGAGTTTTTTATTTTAATTTGTTTCGGTTAGGGTTCTTTTATTTTATTTTATTTTAAAGAAAGCTTTACTATAAAAAAACAGTTGAAAGAAGACGAGTAAGATCAGTTAAAAAGCCGTTGTCATTGATTTACGATAATGCACAGTAATTTAGACAAGTAACAGCAGTAAACGCAGTAAATAGTGTTATAAAATAAAATAAGACATATCTCGGCTGATTTACAGGCAAATAAACTAACATACTCAAGAGCGAGAGCCGGATGTGAACGGGACAAGGCCCCGTCACAAAATGACCATTATCGTCGTTTACGCATAAGCCCGACGCACGAGTTCCGGTCGAAAACTAAAATAATATTTTAAAGTGTTTCTATTTTTCAACCAATAAAAATGCTTCCCTCCTAATTATACTCGCGTCGTTTTACGAGCCTTTAAAAAACGCCATTAAAGGGGTCACACGGGGAAGTACAACAGCAGTCAACAGGAGGCCAGGAAAGAGACCTGTCACGGTCAGGCTGAGCGGTCGGCAGCAGTCAGCAGCAGTCTGCAGCAGTAGCGCCACGCCAACCAGCGAGAACTACTATGAGAGATCAACCCAGTCCGGGTGCCGGCTTATGAACTATACCACAAGTTAGCTGTCCCAAACCCACACGTTCCTATTGAAATAAATCACGGGAATATATTTCTGCTGTTGTCGTATTTCTTGCAACCATACGCTTGTCTATAACAATAGGCCAAAAAGTTGTGATTGCGCGACGGAAGTGATCTGCGTGAATCTAATTACACAAAGCCGGTAATGGCAGACGAATGACCGCCAGTGAGTCCGATTTTTTCTTGTCGATGAACATTTACACGGAAATATGACGGTTTCGGAAAATTTAAATAGTTATTTAGCGCGGGGATTAAAAAGCAAATTTACCACTTTTTATTTATAAAAATGCATAAAAGGATGGGATACACATTCCTGAAATTCAAATAAAATATTTCGAAGATAAAAAAGGCAGCGCATTCCAACACTTCGTCACCCTACTCAAGACCACTATAGTCTCGTCCAACCCCTCTTTTGGCTGAAGCTACGTGACATCCTAAAGTTTATGGTGTGGTATATGTTATAAGAAAATATAGCGATCAACATCATCGCACACACATACACATACACCTTTACAAATTCAAATCTTTCAAGGCATTCATTCATTGGACAGAAAGCAACGCTGCTATCCGAAGCGACAATTTTAAAATCACTATATTTTCATATAGTAAATTTTGTGCACTTTTGGGAGAACCGGCTCCCAGAAGTCTCCCCAAATCTCAGGCACTGATTGGTCAGTATCGACCAATCAGATTCTCTGCATGTGGAGAATGATTCTTCCCGCGCACATTCCTAATTCGATGGCTACCTATATAAACAGAACAAAAGACGACCAACACCAGTAAGACTTCGACTGCTACTGGAATCCACGTCAGTCGAAGACATGCGCCCATCTTCTCACTCACTCTCAAATTACATATTCTATCACACTTACATAATTTTCCTCTTGCACGGCAGAACTGTCTAAAACATTTATAACAGGATAACAACTCTTTCATTTCCTTTTCAGAGAACATTGATAAACTTTTATAGTCAAAGAGAGACTACTCTCGTCTGACTCATTGCATGCTTCTTTTTCGTATATATTCTTTATTGTACGCGTTGTTGAATACAATTTATATATATATATATATATATATATATATATATATATATATATATATATATATTGATACATTTGCCTTGTCCCTTGTTCTTATATCAGTTTGGGTTCCTAAAGAAAAATTAAATAAATGTGGTGAGAAGCCTAGACACGCAACATCTCATTGATAACTACGACGTTCTTTCACTGTTACCTCATTCGCCAGTGAACCTTGTAATTGTGAGGAATATCTCAGAATCAGCACATCTACTTGGCGCGCAAAATATTTTTTCGTCACCACGTGCGAATATTCACGCGACTCAACATGGCAGTCCCAGACAGTGACGGAGCGGCAGTCCTGGTCAGTCTTCCCGTTTTCAACACGATGAATGTTCACGTTTGGTTTTCGCAACTGGGTGCAATATTTCAGACTAAGAGAATCCAGTCACAGAGCGCTCGTTTCGCTTATGTAGTCGAGAAACTACCTCCTGAAGTTTCTGACTTGTTAGATAACGTCCCAACAGAAAACTCATTCGACGTCCTGAGAGAAGCTATTATATACAGGATATGGAAGTCAAAAGAACGTCGAATCAACGACTTATTTAATACGCTTCAACTCGACCAGAGCAAACCCACCCAACTTCTACGGAAGATGAAAAACCTTCTGGGTAATAACACCATGTCAGAGGTTTTGCTACGGAAACTATGGCTAGATAAGCTGCCGACCCACACTGCGGAAATTCTAGCAACACTCACCGAGGACTTGGAGTGGCTGCAATAGCCGATAAAATCGTGGAGAAAAGAACTCTTAACAACACTCATATTTCTTCGACGGACAGCACACCACATGACGACATTCTAAAGAAGATATAGCAGAAGATCGGCAAACTGTCCACGCAACCGGAGAGACTGAGTAGAGTGCGTTCACGTCCAGTATACGACGCATACAAGTCTCGACACCATATCAGAGCTAATTCGAACACTAGGAGTAAACCAAACATTGGTATTTGCTGGTACCACCGAAAGTTTGGACAATCAGCGAGACATTGTACTAAGCCTTGCCATTTCAACGGTCGATCAACACCTACTACTAAAAACAAGCGGGAAAAGGCGTCCCCAACAGCGTATGAAGGCGGCGTCTGTTGTTGGGGGAAATCGAGCTAATCGTCTTTTCTTTGTTAAGGATACTAACTCAGGCGAGTTATTCTTGGTGGATACTGTAGCTCAGGTCAGTGTAATCCCACCCAGAGCTAACACCACAACAGGTGAATCAACATGTACCCTGCGTGCAGCCAACGGTTCCAAGATTGAGACGTATGGTCAAATCTCTCTCACACTCAACATCGGTTTACGACGATCATTTCCGTGGTTGTTCACTGTAGCACAGGTGAAAAATTTCTTAGCTCACTATAAGCTCCTCGGTGTCTGTGTCGTTATGTTTGTTATTTTGTGTTTATTGAAATATTTAAGAGTTTTTCAAGTTTAAAGTATTACCTTTGAACGTGTCTGTGTTTGTTTTTTTTATTTTTAGTAATGCTCAGAAATATTGTTCAAAGTTTCGATATTCGTTGAGTGTTTCAGGTACACAGTTGATTCGTCAAAATGTCTATTTTTGAATGGATTAATTGGGCAATCGACCAGACGACAGTCAAAATGCACAAGGATTTTTTTAATGTGGGCATTCCTTTTAAAAAATTTTGTATAAACGGGTTTCATATTTTAATTGTCCCATGGAAGATCTGGCGTAGCTAGGAGTTCCGTCCGGAACAGAGAGTTGAACCGTGAAGTTCAAAAAAGCTGGACTGAATAATTTACACCCACGAGGGTGTCATGCGCACAAGGCCTTTTTTAATACAGCTCATGTTTTATTTTATAAACGGGTAATGATATCTAATATTATATACAAGATTTCCGGAGACAGTATTTTTTCGCTCAAAAAAGTGAGCTGGCTGACAACTTTTGGTTTTCGAAAGTGGCTCAAGACCAATTCTTGCTTTGGTTCAATCTTATTTGATTCATTCTTTGCATTTTTCACGTTATCTGCGCGTAGGCGTATAATATGGATTCTTTTAAGGTTTTATAGAAAATTAGAAGAGTAAAAATGTCTGTCAAGGCATGATAGAAATTATACGTCCACACAAGATCTGCACGCACTCCCAGAAAACATTTTACAGGACGTCTTAATAAATTCCGGAATGACAACACTTTTCAAAGCACAACACTCATAGGATTCAATTTCAGGACCTCCTGTTTTTCATCTCCTCGCAGGTTAAGCCCGGATAAGTACAAATTAGCGAAGGCTGAATTTCAGCACATGTTAAACCTTGGCATCGTACGACCGTCATACAGATCTTTCTCTTCCCCACTCCATATGGTACCTAAGACACAATCAGGAGCGTGGAGACCCTGTGGAGATTTTCGACGTCTTAACGCGCAGACTGTGCCGGATAAATATCCTGTAGCAAACCAAGCAGATTTTGCAGTAACGCTTCAAGGTGCTCAGATATATACGAAACTGGATCTACGGAAGGCATTTTACCAAATTCCGGTGGCCACGGAAGACATTCATAAAACTGCAATTAAACGAGTTTTTGCGAATGCCGTTCGGACTATGGAACGCCGCACAATCTTTCCAGCGACTAATTGTTGAAGCCCTTCGCGGATTACCACATTTGTTTGTCTACATCGACGACCTGCTCATGGCTAGTAAAGATATGAACGAACAGATAGATCATGTAACTCAAGTTTTCGAGCGACTCAACCACTTTGGTCTTAAGATTAACCCTGATAAATGTGTATTCACAGTACCCAGGCTAGTTTTTCTCGGACATGATATAGACGGTACTGGCATTACATCCATCGCTGATAAAGTAAAAGCAGTACAAGATTTCTTCGACAGCTTCGCAGATTTTTAGGATTAATCAATTATTATCGTCAGTTCATCCCTAAATGTTCACACATAGTGGTATAGCGATTGCTGTTTTTCACACCCACATACAGTCCAAGTCATTTTATTCGCCTGCGATTGGCTAATAAATTACTACTACCTTTGTAGAGGACAATTTAGCCATCACAGTCGTCCCTTTGAATCTTTTGGTTTTGAGCATACTTACTTATTCTGTTTAGTACGAGTGTAGTGATTGGTTAATTTTTAACCAATCACATATTTTTAATGCAAGATCAAGTTTTCCCGCAGTTCCGTGGGAGCCTACCTTTTTTCTTTAAATTGGGCGACTTTTCGTAAGTTGCCAGTAAGATTCAGTAAGATCCCAGACGTCAACACAAATCCACGATCTTGCTCAACGCACGCACAGACACAGAATTTCGTAACTACAAACTTACATTTTCTCTCTGTAACTTTCGCCAAGCACAATTTACCAGGACTTTGTTGATTCAAACCAGTTTATTCATAACACATACCAAGCAGTTGTATTTCTTCGTGTTATTCATTCTTCACATGCAAACTTTGCTCTAACAATTATTTCGGAACATTTATCTCGCAAGAGAACTTTCTTCAAACAGTTGATTACAATCGATCTACATTTAAAGGGAAACAACTTCCTTCTCTTTAATCTACATTGTGAATACAAAATTATTTCATGCTTGTTGTATTTTATTCAATATATATTTGTTGGTTAACAAATTGGAGTTGTTATTTATTACTTGAATCCTGTACGTGGAAGTATCATTAATATAAATAGTAGTAATACCTATATATTTGATACCCCGCTACACTGGCACCCCTGACAAATCAACTCCGTAACCAAGGGAAACAACGCCAAAATTACACTCAACGGTGAATCACTCACTGCATTCAATCAAGCTAAGGACGCTTAAGCGAACTTTACTAAACTTACCTTCAAGAAGACGATAACACCTTACTACGGACGTATCTTCAGAAGTAATTCGAGTTGTATTACATCAACACACAGGCGAGGTAATTAAGCCACTTTCATTTTTCTCTGTAAAACTTACTCCCCCCCCCAAAAAAAATACAGCACTTTTCACGTGAGTTACTAGCTATTTATACAGCTATTAAACACTTTCGTTGTCTTTTGGAAGGACGAAGTTTTACCGTTTTTACCGACCACAAACCTTTTATTTACGCTTTACATGCTAAGAATGACAAGTATAAACCTCGTGATTACCGACAGCTAGACTATATTTCCCAATTCACGACGGATATTCAATACATACAAGGGAACCATAATACTGTTGCTGATACCCTCTCGCGTGCGAATATCATCAATATGAATACTAAACAACCAATGAATTTTGACACACTAGTTGACGAACAAGAAAGGGACGATACTCTGTCAGACCTACAAGCAGACACATCATTACGGATTGAGCCACGTCCCGTGCCCTTTAGCAGTAAGCAATTATTATGCGACACCAGTACAGGTCATCCTTGACCTTCTTCTATGAGAAGACAGATATTCGACCACTCCATTCACTATCGCATCATGGAAGGCGGATTACAACACCGACATGTCAAAACACCCTCTGGACACTTTGCAGAACCTGATGGCCGTTTTCCATGTGGACTTGGTGGATCTGTGGTGATTATCATCACCATCACACTTTCTGTCCGCTACCACTTTTTCACAAATGTCGATTTTCGTGCAGAAAGCCGGAAAGCGGGTCACATCTTCATACATTTTTCTGAAAACCTAAATTTCTCATTGGATAATAAATATTAAAATTATCTCGTATATCTTCACGTGTATTGTTCTCAATAAGCAACACAAAAAACATATCAGGCTCCAGACTGAGTTTTGTAAGGCGCTTTTTGAGTGGTTACCGTTAACTAGATGTTAAAAAAACAATTTACCTGCTCACCAATACGTCCAAATAACGTCAACCTAGTTTTTGACCTGACGAAAAAACAATGCTGATTGGAGCCTGCACGTGGTTAAAAAAAACATATAAATTGAAGGTACGAGCGAACCCAGTCAGTGAGAATTTACGACGACTAGAATTTGCTAAACGAGTTCACGACGCTTGAATCATTACTACAGCGAAGTACCAAGTTAGGACGTCAAGTTCTTTAACAAGAAATAACTTCACTGAAATTCAAACTACAATTTAAACGAAACAACTCACTCACCAATTTCTACAACTTATAAAACTTATTCAACTACGTTATTGAATCTTACGAAAAATAAGTACGAACAACAATACATTCAACTACGAGCAACGAAAACAAACGGAACATTCACTTCTCCAACTTCTTTAAAGCTAAAAGTTTATCAACATATTTTCAGCTTTACAAGATTCTCTTTCAGTGAACATTTTGAACGACAAGTTAATTCAGTTTTTGTGAGCTCCGATAAAAAAATGTTTTATTAGTAAAAACTTTAGCCCAGTCAAAGGGAAGTAACTCATATTATTGTTATTGTAAAACTGTTGTTATTAAATATAAATGTTGTACCTGTTAAGAAAAGTTATTTTCTTGTATTCTTTCTCTTGTTTGCTTTTTATTTTCTTACACATTCGTAAAGTAAAAAAATGTGTGGGTTGATTTATGCCGTCAATACCACTACAACACACATACATACATACAGATCATACGACAAGCATTCATTGGCTAATCTCCTTAAAACTAGCTTGCTGATTGGTCAGTTCTGACCAATCAAATCGCCTGCACGCGAGGAATAATTTTCCCGCGCACAAACTTCGGAACCTGTCACGTGATACACCACCTTATATAAACAAAACACGAGTAAGCCTTGTCTCTCCGTTTTCTCTTTCGTCTCCTTCCTTGCTGCCAAAATGTGACCTTCAAGAATTCCCGTCTTGACCTTGCGGTCAGACGTTAAAGAACATTACCAACATTCACGCAAGTACGAACTCTTAACTCTTCTGAATTCTACCAACCTTTCCAACTCACATTTCCTAACATGCTAAACGAACTTTATTCTTCTAAAACTGCACTTTAATAAT